TATCAGAGAGAGTTTCAAGCCTGTCTGAAGTTAGGCTGGTACCAGCAAAGTGTTAGTCATGCATGAAGCAGGGCAAGGTTTTGCCCAGAGCTCTCGTGGGTGCCCCAAGCTCCAGTCTGTGGCTTCTGCCAGCGCCTTCAAGTAGAAGGATTCACTGAACCATGCTTAATAAAGAAAACCCAGGTGATTATTCACTACTACAGATTCTTTCTCATCCATTAAGGGCTGGCTAGAGGATGTGATTCAGCTCATTTTCACCTTGCGTGGTTTCTCTTGGGGGATGCTTATCCTCTCTTGCTGTTTTGCAGTCTCTTTCTTTCCCGTGGCTCGGATGTCACTTTAAAGAACAAGGAGGGTGAGACTCCACTCCAGTGCTCCAGCCTTAACTCTCCAGTCTGGGTGGCCCTACAGATGAACAAGACTCTCAAAGAATCATCTACTGAAAAGCCTGTGCAGATAGATAAGGTTGTGAACAGGTGAGAAGTCAGCTGGCTTTGCTTGTGGGTCATGAGACAGAGCCTTTGTGTGGGGGAGGCTGAGGCCTGCTTTGAGAAAGGACCTCTCAGTAAGGGCATACTTAGCTTTTTAAACCAGTGTCAAGGTCAGTTTGAGCTTAGCAAGAATTAAGCACATGCTGAGTCAGTTGGTGGTTTGTAAATTCATCCTCCAAGTGGAAATACTCACAAGCAGAAAGAACAATCTGTAAGGCAGGGTGCAAAAAGATGAACTGTGTTCCAGTGTGTTTTTCTTTCAGGCTTTGAATGCTCAGTGATCAAAGACAGTAATTCTGCCCCATTTGAGTGGCCCTCTTGTTTGGAGGAATTTTTCTTCTGTGACCATTCTCTTTCTCCCACTGACAGAGACATTGCCCGGGGTTACGAGCGGATCCCCATTCCCTGCATCAATTCAGTGGACAATGAGCCTTGTCCCAGCAACTACAAATACGTTTCACAGAACTGTGTCACCTCCCCCATGGACATTGACAGAAACATCACTCATCTACAGGTGTGTGTCCACCTGTTTTATCCTGTCACCACGTCTGTGTTCAGGGATGTTGCACCTCAGCACCGGGGTTTGCATTCAAAATGGGAGTGTCTGGTCCTAGTATTGCTGTCAAATTCCAGCTCTTACTCTTGGAGATGGGATTCTGCTTTCCAAGACAGAGCCTAACCTCTGTGTTCAGCTGGGTGCTGTAGCATCAGCCATCTGGCACTGGCTGGTGTGGCTCTGTTTGTCCTTTTCCTGTGTTCTGTAGCTGGAGAGTTAGGGAGTTGTTGGGAGACCTTCCTCCTGCTGGCTTCAGCATCCAGGACAAGGTTTTCATTGAGATACTGGGAGCCCTCAAAGGGCTGGGTTGTCAAGGCAGAGATGGGAAGTGTAGGGTGAGCCCTCTCTGGGTGCAGCTCTCAGGTGGCTGAAGTGAATTTCCAGTATCCAAGCCCTGTTTTGCAGCAGCTGGTGGTGGGACCATGTTGGCTTAGGGAGCTCTGGGGAAGCCACCAGCTGGAGCAACCCTGTGGGAAGAGGCAAAGCAGCAGGGGAGGACTGAGGCATCATGGTGCATCATCTCCCAGCTCTGGTCCCTCCTTGGAGCTTTCCTTGGCCCCGAGTACAGCTCAGAGGGCATGGAGGGAGGTTAGTCACACAGGGGGACATGCTTGCATGAGAGCTGAAGGTGGCTCAGGGTGGGATCCTTTCCTGCAAGCTGGAATCCCTTGATATTCATTGTGCACAGAGGTAAAAAATGGGGTAAAAAAGCCACTGACCTGATGAGGATGGTTTATCTTTCTGACTAAAGAGCTGCAGCAAGAGAAGCTTTGTGGTTTCTTCTCAGACCCAGCCACAGAAGTTGCTCTACCAGGTCTGTGTGAACAGTGGAGTTAACCCCTTGTCTTCTCTTCCAGTATTGTGTGTGTATAGATGACTGCTCCTCCAGCAACTGCATGTGTGGCCAGCTCAGCATGCGCTGCTGGTATGATAAGGTGAGGACACCAAACCTCTCTTGGGCCAGACCAGGGGCTGTGAGCTGAACTTTGCACAGTCTGGGGTTTATAGCAGCACCTTAAGAGCAGATCCTTGCACAGCTCCTCTACTTTTTGTCTTAAAAAGCCTAAAGTTGCAGGCTCAGCTTTGAGATGTAGGTGATAACAACAAAAGTGTGACCTCAGGGCAGCTTTTTTAGTGTTAATGTCATACCAACTGAGCCATTAATTATACCCCTGTGATGGAGAGTGTTTAATAATCCATGTGTGAAATCAGCTTCCATTTCAGAGCAACACAGAAGATGCTCTGTATGGTATGTAAACAAGGGGAGGGTGACAGAGGGGTTTGTTGCCTGTTTTTATTGATTGGGATCCTTCTGGGTGAAGGCAAAGTAAAGATGTTTTAACTGCAACATTGCCAGAAGCCTGGTTTGTTTTGGGTAAGTAGCTTCAATCCTCCAGGGAGGTTTTGAGGTTAATATTTGGACAGGTTCTGCTAAGATCTGTGAATCTCTGCAAGTTTCTCCCAGAGGGAATACTGGCATCTCTCTTTGCTTTGGAGCTGTTTTATTTAGACGTTAATAAGTGATTACAACTTTCCAGCCTTTAAAGCCAAATTAGTTACGTATGATGATCTGCATCTGCTGCTTCCTTAATCCTATATGGTTGGTAAATAATTGAATTTAGCTTTTTTGGGAGTTATCTGGGAAGATAATGTGCTTTACAGAACTTGGGTGTATTGGCCTTGTAATCTGGAAGTTTAGGCTTTATTCCAGAGACGGACTAAGCATCTGCTTCTCCCATCCAGCACCACAAAGTGATGATAATGATGATGCACTCTGCTTTTTTGCACAGCACTGTAAGATTCTTTTTTTTTGGTGGTGCATAGGGTGCTGCCAGGCAGCAAAAATCCAGACAGTGTCTTGCTGTTTGTCAGCTATTGCTGATGGTGGGGGCGGAGGAAAAGCACCACGGCGCTTGGGGTCTGCCTCTGGTTTTGGGGAGGTCAGGGCACACCTCCTCCACCTTGGGGATCTCTGGGCTGTTCTTACAGTCAGGAGTTCCTGCTCTTGGCCTGCCTCTGGTTTGGAGGGGGCACAGGAGCAGACAACTAACCCAACCTTGAATGCCTCTCCTCCTCAGGACGGCCGCCTCCTGCCCGAGTTCAACATGGCTGAGCCACCACTGATCTTTGAGTGCAACCACGCCTGTTCCTGCTGGAGAACCTGTAGGAACCGGGTGGTGCAGAATGGACTCAGGTGAGAAGGAGGATCCAAACACAGCTTATCTTGGCGAGGCCAACAGAAAACCTGGGCTTCTTGGCTCTTCCACTTTCAGCTCACTCATAAACCCACCAAACCCAGATGAGACGGAAGCTGGGGCAGGTGTCACCGTGCAGTGGTGGGATGCAAGTGGGTTCCTGTGTGCTGCTGGTGGGAATGAAGCAGCAGCAGGTGGATGAGCTCAATTCATATTTGCACCCTGCCCGTGATGTGGGAACTGTGGCATCCTTTCACCAGCCTGACCATAAAACACAAATGGTTTGTGGGTTTGCATGAACAGCCTAGATATAACTTCTTGTGTGTAGATCTGTGAAGAAAGCAGCAGCAACAGGAACTGCAAAGCTTTAATTGAGAAGATCTTGTAGGTTAGAAATAATAGGGCAGCATGTCCAGGCTTGGCTGCTTAAAATTTCCAAATTACTGGTGTCACCCCCCCTGAATGGGATACCTGTTGGTCTCAGTGCTGCACATGAGGCTGTAAAGTGCCAAACTGAAAATGTTTTGGTTTGGACGTCAGCTGTGGAGAAGTTTGCCACTGCACTGAATGTATTTTGGTGCCAAACTGAAAATGTTTTGGTTTGGACCTCTGCTGTGGAGAAGTTTGCCACTGCACTGAATGTTTATCAGGACAAACTTCGAAGGAATCCCACTGGAGAACAAAAACACTTTAGCTAATGTTTTGTAGCACTGACAGTGTTGTTTTTTTGCAAGCTCTGTAGTTTCAATGACACTTTGCAACTTTAAAAATAAGTAAGGAACAGGCTGGATGCGTCTCAACAGAACTTTACCCATCTCTGGTTTTCCCTGCCAAGCTGCAGAGCTCCACTGTCTGTGTGGGTGTTTATTTAGGAGCTGTACAGTTAGAGCTCTTGCTTTTGCAGTTTTTGCCTTGCTCAGGTGTTTTTCTGAAAGGTGGGAAGGGTTGGAAAGCCAACGATAAGCCTGGGAGAGCAGCTTTTTTTGGGAAGCTGGTGCTAAGGTTGGGTGCTTGGCAGGGCTGTGCTGGAGGTCCCTGGGGAGGCAGTGGAGAAACCTCCTGTGTCTGGGTTGCAGCATGACACTTGGGTTGCTTTTGCTACATTTTCAGTGGTTCCTGTATCAGATTTGCCCCAGATCAGCTCTGCTCTGCACACATTTCCATCTGGCAGGCTGACCCAGCTTGGTTGGGGAGCTGAGGTGGGATCCGTGGTCCCACTCCTGCCAGTGTTGGCCCCAACAGCAAAGCCTGAACCAGAACTTGGGTTCTGCTCTGGTGTGGTGGACCAGGCAGAGCATGGGGGAGCTTCCTCAGGCCTGTGCTACAGTGTTATAAGTGGGTGAACCTGAGTTGTGTTTTGCCCTGGTGAAGGCTGCAGGAGCTGTGAGCAAATACAAGAAAATGCACAGCCCCCAATTTGAGCTGACAGTGCCAGGAGGGAATGGGTGGGGAGAAGAGAAGTACTGGGAGAAGCAACAGGGTGAAGTTAAGGTGAGCATTAGATTTCTCTTTATTCCAATAACAGCATTGCTGAGAGTGGGTTTTGGTTCCCCTGGGGACAGAGCAAGCCTTCCCTAGCCCTGCAGACTGTTCATCCTGCACTTAACTCAACTCCTGGCTGAGCAGGAGGCAGAATGACTTACAGGATTCTTTCTCTGCCCATAAACTCCATCAGTAAAATTCCACAGAGCAGCTCTTACACCAAGAAGTTTCATGTTGCAGCTTTTCTTCCTTGTCTTTCAGCCAAGGCAGCTGGATATGATGGAGTTGCTAAATTGCACCGGCCTCAGCAGAGGGTGAAGGGGTCAGAGCACTTAGCTCAAGGTGTTCTTAATCCACCATGAGGTCCCTGCCCTCCCCTCAGTAGCCCTCCCTGCAGAGCTACACTGCCTGCAGTTCCCTTCCACCTTCCCCTGAGTGGTGGGTGTGTGCATGGAAAGGGAGAGAAGTGCTGGGATTCTGGTGTCCTACGTGTAAATCACCCACGGTGTCATCACACAGAGCATCCCATCCCCTGCCCTCCTCCCCAGCCTTCAGCATGTCCTGACCCTCAGTATGCACCTCACAGAGTGCTGCTGGGCAGGCAGAAAGGGTTGATGAGCATCCATCCCTTGTCCCCAGGCAGCCCCCAGCCAAGCACCTGCCCACATGCTTGGGGCAGCAGTGGGAGTGGAGTGAAGCCGCTGTGGTGCCAGGGTGAGAACTGGGCGGGGGGGGATCAAACACTGAAAGTTTCTGCTGATAAACTCATGATTCTATGGAAAGTTGCTGGGTTTGTGCTGATCTCTCTAAACGTTTCTTGCCTTGCTGTGGAGTGCTGCCATGAACCTGCCTTCATTTCCTCTTTCCAGGACTCGATTGCAGCTTTATCGGACGCAGAAGATGGGCTGGGGCGTGAGGACAATGCAGGACATTCCACTGGGAACCTTTGTGTGCGAGTAAGTCATTCAGCTCTCATTAGCTTCCATGGATGCATTTCTTCCCCAGGGCTGGCATGGTTTGCTCCTCTTCAAGGATTGGTTTTCATGCAAATCAAATTGGCATCGAGCAGAGCTGCCCTCAGAGGTTTCCTGACTCCATTTCCTGCTCTGTTTGTCCTTTTCCTCCTCGTGTGGAGCTTTCTCCACCCTTCTCTGTCTTGCTGGGGTCTGTGCTCAGCTCTCTTACCCCTCTGAGACACAGGTGATTGGGGGGGGAAAAATGCATTTGAGTTGTGCTGTGAATATGCTCAACTCATGTGTTCATTGTGCATATGGGACACTTCAGGCCAAGCCAATTTGGGACAACTTTTTAATCCTAGATTTTTTTTTCTATTTCAATAATGACTTCTCAGGAGGTTTTCCAGTGTCACTAAAGCTCTGGCTTTAGTCTGATTCAGCAGAACAGTAAAGCATTTGGTGTTAAGCACATGTTTCAGCCCTGATTCAGTGGAGTGCTTAAGAACAAAAGTGTTCTTTATGTAAAATGAAAAAAAATTGCTCTCCAACCCCAGAGTTTTTAGGCTTCAAAGTGGTACATACACTTCATTAAGTATTTTGGAAAGTGTTTTCTTTGTTTCCATAATACAGTGAGTTAAGACTTTCTAAGTATGTCTAGACTCATACCCTTCATGGAAATAGGTGCTGGGGTTTCTAGAGCTAGTGGGTGGTGTTTTATAGAACTGGGTTGGGAGATTAGGAAAGATTTTTACAGACTTAAAAGAAAATAAGGAAAAGAATCTGCAGTGAATTGGCCAAGTATTCCTTCCATGTTAGGAGCTGCCAGATGATGGTTTTTTGGAGCTAAAGCTGACAACTCTGCTGTTTGTGGGATGTGTCTCAAGTCTGTCTTCAGGTGGGGTTCTTGGAAGGTCCCTGTGTCCTGGTTCAGCACCCAGAGGGGGACCAGAGCCTGTGCATAAACTGTTCCCAAATTAAAAAGGCACTGACTTGGCCAAATCCTACTGGAATGCTAACATGGAAGGGGAATAAGCAGTGATGAGCAGGCAGTGCTGTGATTAAGGGTGTGATGTGGAGCACATCAGATGGGTGCAGATACCACAACCCGGCTTAACTCTTCCCTCCAGTCCTGCCAGGAGCTGCTGACACTGTTTCAGTGGGAGACACTTTCTTACTCATTATCTAAATGAGCTGCATACTAAAAAGCTGAGCTATTTGTTGTCTTGCCCATGTACATCCCTGCTTGTCTCCATCACTCTCACAGGTTATTTACTCACCAACTCCAGTCCTTCTCCCCAAGCCACTGCACTGATGTCCCTCCTCTGATACTTTATCAAGCCTCTAGACTTGTTTTTTCCTTTTTCTCATCTCTGGCAAAGAATCCCCAGTGCTGGTGGTGCTCAGGGGCTGATTCCTTACAGCAGCTCCTGGGATCAGCTCTTGTGGAAGAGCATTTTGCTTTAAACATCTGGATTAGAGTCCCAGTTGCTTTGTAGGGAGGTTATTGCACTGCTTTGGAAGGATGATAATTTTATTGGTGGAAGGATGAATTTTATTCCATAACTCTTCACATTCCTTGCTCACACAAGGGGCTAATCTGGACTAGTTCTGGCAACTTTCATTTTGCAAAACTGTGCTGCTCCTGCCTGTTCCTGTGAGTAAATACCTTTCTTACACACACACTGCTTTTAGCCCACTCTGTACTTCAGAGACCTTTCAACTTTTCTCTCTAATCACTCCAAAAAGTGATTCCCCTTTCAACCTGCAGACTGTCCCTCTGGCAGCTGCTGCAGGGAGCACTGAGCAGCACTCAGGGCAGTTTGGCAGCTGGAGGGAGGCTGAGCCAGCACAGTGGACAGTCAGCCCTTCAGCCTCCTCTCCAGGGCTCCCAGATCCTTCAGCTGCTCCAGATCCTCCTGCTATCAGCCTCTGGTACCTTCAGCACTATCCTGGAGGCAGCAGCTTAGTGAGGGGAGGGATGCACCAGTGTCACCCTCCCTGCCCTGCTGGGCTCCCATGGAGTTTTTAGGCTCTTTCACTTTCAGATACTCAGGAGTATGGTTGTGTGCAAGTTTCTCCCTGGCCTTCAAGTAGGTTGATGTTCAAAAGTTGCTGTTTCCCCTGTGCTGATATTCCTGTGGGTTGATTGGAGTCAGCTCTGTTTGTGCCTGGTTGTCAGACAGTGCAGCTGCTTGTTCTGGAAAGGGCACAGCTGGTTAAGGGCTTTCTCTGAGAGTACCAGAGCCCTGGGACAGGCTGCCCAGGGAGGTTGTGGAGTCTGCAACCCTGGAGATACTCAAAACCTGCCTGGTTATGTTCCTGTGGGATCTGCTCTAGGGGATCCTGCTCAAGCAGGGGTTTGGACCAGATGATCTCCAGAGGTCCCTTCCAGTCCCAACCGTTCTGTGATTCTACTGGAGAGGCTTTGAATGAGCAGGATGCAGAAACCAGAGGTTTGTGAGGATCTGCTCTGGTCCTTTCCATGCACATCTGTTATGTGGTTTCCAAATACTTAATTTCTGTACAAAAGTGTGATGCTTTAATAAGATACATCTACATTTAACCAGGTATTTTAGCCACATCTTCAGCCAGAGAAGCCCTAGGTGTCCTGTCTCCCAATTTCTTGTTACTCTTGATTTTTTCATGGAGCATTCCCTGATCTTGCAGGGATGAGTGGCAGTGCAAAGCTCTGAGCTGCAGGTACCTGCCATCAGCCTGCTGAAGATCTGCCTGGAAATAAAGATGCTGGCTTGACTCAGAGTTTTTAAAAGAAGGGGCTGATGCTCCTGCTCTTTTTTGGGTAGGGAGATCTACCTTTTGGTTAGGAGAATATATGTTTTGCATGTGCTTCCATAACTTTGGACCTGGGAAGTCAGGGAACCATTTGTATTGATAAGCAGTCCTGGAAAGGAAACGAGTTACAGGAATAGTCTTTAAAGGATGTCAAAGCAACCATTTTTAATTAGGTTGTGGTTTTTGTTTGCCTGAGTTGGGAAGCTGGAGGGGCTGTCCCTGAGTAGCCTCCCTCCCCATGCAGTGTTGTTCAGCTGCTGTGCCTGCTGTGCTACCTCAAGGTCTGTCCCTCTCTGGCCATTCTCTCCTTGTTGCTTTAGGTCAGGAATGAGTGTGGGATTTCCAGTGATGCTGCAGCCTTCTGAGAGCACTTAATACCCAGATGTGATGGGGGCAGACAGGAGGGTCCCCTGTGGCAGCCTCCTTCTGTGCCAGAGCCACTTGGCCACATGGCTCCCACTTGGGAACTGCAGCCAAACCATCCCTTGTCTCAGAGTGTGTGGATCCCTCTCCAGGTTAATGGTTTGTGCCTCTTCTCTCCCCCAGCCCATGGGTTAAATGCATGGGGAGGTGGATCAGTTGGTTACTGCTTCGGAAGGACCTTGAGAGCTGCAGAGCAATGAATGCTGCTGCAGTGCCTGCTGCTCATGGACCTCTCTGCTGATGCTGCAAAGAACAGTTATTCATACTTTTTTTTAATGAGGAGTCACATGGAAAAGACAGAGGGGTCATGGGTACAAGTTAGTCCTGGGGAGATCCCAGTGCACTCCCAAGGAAAACTTTTCACCATGAGACCAGTTAGACATTGGAATGGTCTTCCAAGGGAAGTGGTGGATTCCCCCACATTGGACAGTTTTGATACTCAGCTCCACAGGTGCTGGAACATCTCATATCAACTATATTATGACCTCAAATGGTTGGACCAGGTGATCCTTGAGGTCCCTTCCAACCTGGCACCCTGAGATTCTGTGAATCCTTTGCTGATAACTAATTAGGGTTGTGTTAAAAGCTGGGAAGACTCACATACCAGAATCACACTGTTGCTTCTCTCTTGTACCCTCCCCTGGCTCAGTGCCTCTCATGTCTCTCTCTTTGGTTGCAGGCAGGGCAGGGCAGGAAGTGTTGAACTGTGATAGTCCAAAACCACTTAAGATGGAGATGGGGAGACAAGTGTGGGAACTCCCACAGCAGGGGGGTTTGCATCAAACCCAGCATCAGTCTGGGATGTGAGGAGTGATGTGTGTGCTTAGTCCTTCTCAGCAGGGCAGGCCAAGCAGCACGTGCTTCACCTTGCATGGAGGGCCTGCAGGTTGTCACCTGCCTGGCACCAGGTTTCACAGCAGGGTGGTTGTTGGTCAGATCAGGTGTTTTCTGGTCTGAAAGAGATGGAGAAAGAAACCTAGATCCTTCCAGGGATCCTGGTAGGTTAGGTTAGACCTAAGAGTATTAAACCAAAAGTTTTCAATTGGTCAAAATACCCTAGAAAACAGAGGAAGGACAAGACACAAATGTTCTGCTGTGGGATGTGATCAGCACAAGCCTTGCAGTGCTGCACACGAGAGCCAAGGTGTGAGCCTGACCATGAACAGAAGGGGAATTGGATTGATGTGCTGATCTTGGCCAACAAAGAGATTTGCAAAAGGAAACGTAGCCCTCAGGAAAAGCAGATTTTGTTGGAAGTAAGCCTCCATTTTTGATATTAAAAGTGTTGCCTTGAAAAGGGTGAGTTTTGGAGCCAGGTTTTTGCTGCTGTCAGCTGGCAAAGCCGAGTTGGCCCGGGTGGCTCCAAGATGACCTGCATGACCAAGGCCCTTCCCTCTTCCCAGAAGGAGGTGTCCCGAGCTGGGACTACATGAGTGTCTTATTCCTCCCTTTCCTGCTTGTCCACAGGTATGTTGGTGAGCTGATATCCGACTCCGAGGCAGACGTCCGGGAAGACGACTCCTACCTCTTTGACCTTGACAACAAGGTACTGTGTCTGAAGGTGTCTGAGACAGAGCCAAGGTCTTGCCTCTCCAGAGGAGCAAAGAGAATATTTGCCTCCCATCTTGATGTACAGCACGACCTGAAAGCCTGCAAAGGGGAGGACTGCATCCTTGTGGTGTTTTAGTCAAAATAGAGAATGGTTGAGGTGAGGCTTGGGGCTTGTTGAGCTGGAGGCAGAGCCCAGCAGCACTGGGCCACCAAGGTATGTGCTGCCCACACCAGTTTCCATGCAAAGGAAGTTCTTCTGTCAAAGCTTTTTGGGTATCCTGAGTTCAGTTGTTCATGTTTGGATACTCAGGTGTGTGTGTGCAGGGCTGGGTTGATTGGCAGCTCTGGCAGTTGCTCATAAAAAGATGAACTGAAAGACTGAAAAAATCCCCAACAGCCTTCACTTAAAAGTGAGAGGGTGATGGGAATGAAAATGGAAATCAGAGCCAGTAACAACTCTCTGTGTAGTGTGGGACCATGTGAGGTGATGCCTCTCCCAGTGGCTGGGACATCTTCCCTGGGTTCCTGGGGTGGTGTGATCTGGCACAGCTCGTTCATTAATGATTGCAAGGTGCTTGCCCAAAAGGGACTTGGAGCACCACTAATGGATCCTTTTGCTTTTTGCCTCTTTGCAGCTGAAATTAGCTTCTGTAATTAAAGTCTCTGCTTTGCAGAGTCATTCTCTGCTGGAATAAAAAAAAAAGTAAAGTAAAAGCCCTGAGGGGGGTTCTTTTATTTTCAGGGATAACAAAAATATTACTGTTCCCTGGGCTGTCTGGAAAGGGAATTTCTGTGTTCTCACTTTCAGTTTTATCTGCAAAACCCTGTGTTGTCTGGAGGCTCTGGCTTTGTGTTTCCTGGCTGTCATGCTCAGGGGATGTCATGCTTCTACCCCAGAGGTGTTTGCACCCAACATCAATCCCAGGGTGCCAAACTGGTGCTTTCACAGAGCAGGGCTGGGCAGAGCTGGGTGCCAGGCAGCCCCAGGGGCCTTCCCAAAGCTCTTTGGACTCATGGGCTCCAAGTGCTGTGCAGAAAACTGTATTTTCAGGGTCCTGTTGATCACAAGAATGGGTGTGTTTGGATCCTTTCCAACCCGCAGTGGGCGGGTCTGGTGGTTCATCTTGGAGCGGGGTAGTTGGGTTGTTGATTTAACCAAGTTCTGATCCTGAACCCAACCTCACCTGACCAGAGCCTCCCTGTCTCTCCTCCAGGAGGGGGAGGCGTACTGCATAGATGCCCGTTTCTATGGCAACATCAGCCGCTTCATCAACCACCTCTGTGAGCCAAACCTCATCCCCGTGCGCGTCTTCATGTCGCATCAGGACCTGCGCTTCCCCAGGATCGCCTTCTTCAGCACCAGGCAGATAGAGGCTGGAGAGGAGATCGGGTAGGTGATGTCCCCAGGGCCTGGGGAAGGAGGGAGTGCAGAGGGGAGGATGTGTTGGAGGTTCAGGCCCTTGGCACAGGCTGCCCCAGGGCGGTGGTGGAGTCACCATCCCTGGGGATGTGGCACTTCAGGACATGGCTTACTGAGTCACAGGACCATGGAATGTGTGGGGTGGGAAGGGACCTGTAAAGGTCATCCAGTCCAGCCCCCCTGCAGTGCACAGGAGAACTCTTTATAACTAGGTCAGGTTGCTCAGAGCCCCATCAAGCCTGACCTTGAATGTCTCCAGGGATGGGGCCTCCACCACCTCTCTGGCCAACCTGTTCCAGTGCTTCACCACCCTCATGGTGAAGAACCTCTTCCTAATACCCATCTCCATCTCCCCTGTTCTACTTAAGGCCGTTACCTCTTGTCCTGTCACTACAAGCCCTTGTCAAAAGTCCCTCCCCAGATTTCCTGTAGTCCCTTTGGGTACTGAATGGTGCTCTAAGGTCTCCCAACTGCACACTCCAACTCTCCCAGCCTGTCTCCAGAGCAGAGCTGCTCCAGCCCTCGGATCAGTTTTGTGGCCCTTCTCTGAACTTGTTCCAGGAGGCCTATGCTTAGAGACCTTTTCCAACCTGAACGATTCTATGAAAAGCTCTGCTGCTCCTGAGCTGCCTCACTCCGTCCATTTGCTCTCCAAACTGTGTCCTCAGGCTCCCCTGAGCAAGACATTGAGTCCCAAGGACCCAGCCAGGATGGGTGGCAGGGTCACACGCTCCGTCCCCGGAGCTTCACCAAACCCCAAACAGCGGCAGCACCAACAACTCCCCCCACGCGCGGGGCCTTTTCCTGCCGCCGCTTTGCAGTGACCCCCTTTTCTGTGTCTCTCTCTCTTAACAGCTTTGACTATGGTGACAGGTTCTGGGACATCAAAGGCAAATTCTTCAGCTGTCAGTGTGGTTCACCCAAGTGCAAACACTCGAGCTCCGCGCTGGCGCAGCGGCAGGCGAGCACCTCGGCCCAGGACACGCAGGAGAACGGGCTCCCTGACACCAGCTCTGCCACAGCCACCAGCCACTTTTGAGGCTCAGCTCCCCAGAGACTTGACTCCTTTCAACCCCCAATAGATTCACATACTGTCTGAATTTCCATTGAAAGAGAGGGAGAGAGGAAAAGAAAACCCGACAAAAAAAAAAAAAAAAAGACAAAAAAAAGACCCACAAAAAAAAACCAAACCCACCCAACCCTACCCCCCAAAAAAAGAAAACCCACAACAAAACAAACCAACCAACCCTCTGAAGGAAAGCCACGGGGTTGTGACGCTTAGGGCTGTGCCACCAACTGTTACTTGAGGAATAAATTCAAGGAAATCCCACCTCCCATGTGTTGTTCTCCCCTCCCTGGTACTGGGAAGCTGCTGGTTTCCAGTGCTGGAGGGGTGGCCGTTGGGTCCTTGGGGGTATTTTTTGCCATGTGAGCTGTTCCTGGCCCCCCTCTCTTAATGTGCTGAGTGTTGTCAGAGCCCAGGGGGAGCCACCCTCCTCCCACTGTTGTTCACAGAATGGATGATCATGCCAAGTCATCTCCAGTTCACTTTTAATAAACTTTTAATACTTGATGGGACTTTCTTTCTAAAAGCTTGGGCAGTGGGAGGAGGAGGAGGAGGGAGGTGCTGGCCTTGGGCTTTGCTTGGCACAGCCCCCGGGGCAGCTTCTGCTGATTGGTTTGTGCTGGTTTCTTTGGGTTGTTTTGGGTTTTTTTTGGTTGTTTGTTTGGTTTTGCTTTTTTTTGTAGTCATGAATTCCTCCCAGGACACCACGGCGGGGCCTTCCCTGAGGACCTAGAGGGCATTTCTGACAAGCACCCTCCTTGTTACCAAGTCCAACGGCTTTTTTCTCTTCCAGCGAGAAGAAACCCAAAGTCTTTACAACCTCTTTGGTCCTTGGCTCTTTCCTGAGCTTTCCAGAGTCTCTTCCCCTGCTCCTTCCTGGGCTTTTCTCCATCACAAACCATCCCTCAGCCGTGGGACTTGTCTCAGTGTTGGGTTCACCCATGGAAGGATTTCCCTCTTCCCCGGCGCAGGGTCGAGAGAGGGAAGGTTTGAAGGGGGATCGTACAAGACACTAACTTCTGAAGAAGACCAGTCTTTTAAAAAAAACCCCACAAGTAAAGGAATGCTATATATATTCTAGAGAACCTCAACTCCTGTCCACCCATGGGACAGCCAGGCAGGATGTGTCACGGTGAGAAGATCCCAGATGCCACCAGCTCATCTGTTCCCATCACTTCTCCCGACGTCGGGCACCTCCGAGCGATGGTTGGTTTTTTTTTAAGCCACAATCTGAGGTTTCAAGAAACTGATTTTATTTTTCACCACGATGGAACCATTGGGGACGAGCGTTGAAAAAGAAAGAAAACACAAAACACACAAAATAATCATAAAAAAAAAAAAACCACAAAAAAAAAATGTCGAAAAAAAACCACAAAAGAAAGAAAACGACGACGACAAAAAAAAAACCAACCCAAGAAACCACAAAAAAAACCCCCCACAAAACGGTGCTGATTCTGGTGTGATTTTTTGCTCACCACGTGAATATAAACTTATCAATTGTATAAAAAAAAAAAAAGAACAAAGTGATTTTAGTATAAAAAAAAACCGCAGGAAAAAAAAAAAAAACACAAAACTTTTTTTAAATTGTTAGTATTGTAGTGTGAATAAATTTGCCATCACCTTTTGTGTGGTGGCTGGGCAGGTCATTATCTTAATATTTTGTTTTGCATATATCTTTAAATACTGTAATTAGTGCAGTAACAGGTTTTGTTGTTTGTTTTTTTTTTTTTTGTTCATCTCTTCTAGAACATTCATAATGTCCTCATGTTTATTATTATTATTATTTTTTGTTTTCTGTTAATGTTTTGGACAGTTTTAAAGGAGCAGCCTTTTGGCTCGGATCATTTTCTTGTTCTGTTTTCAATGAAATCAATAAAAAAAAAAAACACAACAAAAAAAAAGTGCTTTAAAAGGAGTTTGGCCTTTTTGTCTGCTGGGCTGGTGGGGCTGGCACCTCATAAATCCCAGGAGGGACTTCAGTCATCTGGGCCAACTGTCCCACTGAAGGAGCATCACCTGGAGCACTTTACACAGGATTATCCAGGTGAGGCTGGAATGTCTGCAGGGATGGAGACTCCACAGCCTCCCTGGGCAGCCTGTCCCAGGGCTCTGTCACCCTCAGAGTAAAGAAGTATTTTCTTATAGTTAAGTTAAATCTACTATGTACCAGTTTGTGCCCATTGCCCCTTGTCCTGTTGTTGGACACCACTGAGCAGACACCCTACACCCCCTGCAGATATTGATCAGCACTGATCAGATCCCCCCTCAGTCTCCTCCTCTCCAGCTGAGCAGCCCCAGCTCTCCCAGCCTTTCCTCACAGGCAGATGCTCCAACCCCCAACCATCTTCATCACCCTCCTCAGGACTCTCTCCAGCAGTTGCCTCTCTCTCTTGTACTGGGGAGCCCAGAACTGGTCCCAGTTCTCCAGCTGTGGCCTCACCAGGGCAGAGCAGATGAGGAAAATCAGCTCCCTCCACCTGCTGGCCACGACCTTCCCTCTTCCTCATGCACCCCAGGATTCCATTGGCCTTCTTGGCAGGAAGGGCACATTCCTGGCTCATGGATCATTTACTGTCTGTCATCCTGGGGCTCCAAAGGAAAATTAAGAAAACAAAACAAAACAAAAGCCCTGTAAACTTTCCACCAAGGGGGAAACAGCCTGAGTGTTTGTGTTCTGAGGGGTTTGGGGCTTTGGGGTTATTTTCAGTGTTGTGTAATCCCCTCAGTCTTCAAGTTGTTCTGTTTGGGGAGCCTGGAGTCTGGCTGGGGGGTTGGCAGTGCTGGTGCTGGGGGGGCTCTGAGGGCCCAGGGGGCCTCCCCAGCACCTGCCAGACAATTAATTGAATTGAATTGAATTTTAAAGGCCAAGGACAGGGATGAGGGGAAACTCCTACTCATGAGCAAAACCTGGGAATGTTTCCTACAATGGGAGGAGGTGGCAGGGGGGATCACAGGGCTCTGAGGGGCTGGGCTGGGTCTGGGGGCTCATCCCTGGGTCCCCCCCAAGCCCTGGGGTGCTGGGTGGGGGCTGCAGGGGCTGTGGGACTGAGCACCAGGTGCCCTCACCCTGAGTCAGGAAAAGCAGTGACTGAGTCACTGCCAGTCAATAGCTCATAAGAATATTCAATATCTCATAAGAATATTCATAACCAGCAGGAAAAGCCCGGCCTGAGGCCAGTGGGGATGGGGGGAGCAGGGAGGGCTCTCACACCCTCACCCACCTCTGGCCCACCTGGCAGGAGCCTTCATCACCCACAGAGCCCTGGAGGTGCCCTCACCAGCCTCACTCAGGGCACTTAAAAGACTCAGAATCCCAGACTGGTTTGGGTTGGAAGGGACCTTAAAGCCCATCCAGTCCCACCCCCCTGCATGGGCAGGGACACCTCCCACCAGCCCAGGCTGCTCCAAGCCCCATCCAACCTGCCCTTCAACACTGCCAGGGATGGGGCAGCCACAGCTTCCCTGGGCAACCTGGGCCAGGGTCTGGGCTGATCACGGGTCAGAACTCAGGTTGGGTTGTTGGGAGCTGGGATGGCAAAGGGTTCTGAGAGCAACAGGCAGAGCTGTTGGGGAAAGGGAGCAGGACCCTGGGATGACACCCACGTGCCCTTGCACCTTGACAACATTTAATTACAGGCTAATGCTAATTACAATAATAAGTTCCGACATCGTATGATTAAACATTGTAATGAGAAGAAGATGCTTCTGTTGAGGGGGAGATGTGGAAAAACCCCAGGGAAATCGAATCTCTGAATGGAGCTTTTCCCAGGGTGTTTTCCTGGAGTTGGGGTGGGAAACGTGGGTGGTGGTGGTGGGGGGGCCCAGGGGGGGATTTGCACCCCACAAAGGGGGGTTGAAGCACCACCAGGTGACCCCCAGCACCCCTGTTTTTTCTGTGCAAAGAACAGTGAATCAAATGGACCCATCGAATGCCCTCCCAGCCCCCACGGGTGGGGTTGGGCAGAGGGGCCCTGGGTTTGAACAGGAGGTGAAAGGACAAGCCCCTTGGCTCTTCTGGAGCTGCAAAGAAACCTTCAACCCACCTTCAACCATCCGTGTGCCTTTTCCCAGGGGGGTTGGCGCCCACCCTGGGGCTTTGGGGTGTTCCTGTGGTCCTGCAGCTGCCCTGGGCAGTGGGACCCGGGCTGGGTGTGGGTGCTGAGCTCGGGTGGGATGTGGGGCTGGGCTGTGGGGGGGAACTGGGCACCCTGCAGGATCCCACCCTCACCAGTGGGCTGGGAGGAGGGCAACAGGGCAAAGCCCTGGAGTTCAGAGCTGGAGGAGACACATCTTTCCTTCCATGCCCGGGATGTCCCTGCTCCTCTTCTTCCTCCCACTGGATCCCCTGCTCCTCTTCTTTCTCCCACTGGATCCCCTGCTTACAGCTACAGGGCAGCATCCTACAGGAATGGGGAAGAGAAAAACCTGCTCCAGGGCCAGCAGGCAAGACACAGATGGATCAGATCCAGCTGCCTGGGATCACACAGTGTCTCCCTGGGCAAACCCTCTGTGCTCCAAGAGGTTGTGCAGCTGGTGAGCTCCTGCTGCCTCATCTCTTGGGGGTGCTGGGCAGGTGTTAGAAAGGCACCTGAAAGGCAGCACCCATCACCCTGCAGCTGAACCAGCCCCCCAAGCCCTGAAACACTGGAGCTGGTCTGGCTTCTCCTCTTCACAGGCTCCATCTCTCCCTTCCTCCTGCAGCACTGACTTCCCTCCCTGAGGAAATGTGAGCAGGGCGATGATTATCCCGCTGCCCAGGTAAGAGCCATAAACTCTCTATAAATGCACAATTTCACCCCACGTCTCATTCCTGAGCCTTTGCCAGAGCTGCAAGAAATATTAATTTATCTCCCCGATAGCACAGGATATTCCCTGGTCTGCAGAAAAAGCTCCTTATCACCCTTTTCATTTCCTCTCTGGTGCTGCAGGGCAGGAGGAAAAATCCATGGGTGCTGTGGGTGTTGGCAGGGACCAGCCCTGGTGATCCAGCATCAGGCTGAGGTTCCAGCTGCAAGTCCAAAGACAGTGATGAGGGGGTGAGGAGCAGTGGGG